GGGGAGACCAGCCCCTGCATCTCCCCGCGCAGGGGAGCCTGTTTCCCACTTTCGCCAGAGCCGCGGTCCCCAGGGAGCCAGCCGGTCCTCCGGGCCGGGATGCTCGGCGCTGCACGTGCAGCCCGTCGCTGCGGTTAGCGTTGCCACGTGCGTTCCCGCCTCGTTGACTTTCTTTCTCCCCGTTGGCACTTGTTGATGCTGAGGTCACCTAGGGTGCCTCTGTCCCTCCTTCCCACGGCCTCTGAACGTCTTCTGCTGCCTCTTTGCTTTGCCCCTTGTCAGGTTACTGATGTATTAAATTAAATTACCAGTATCAGACATGTTCTGTTAATCTCCTGCCATGATAGAAATCAACTGCTTCGTTCTGTGCTTGGCCTTGTGTCCCTTGGCAGTCTCCTTGCAAAGTATGATCTCCAGGGCCTGCCGGATTCAGGAAGAAATGCGGTTAGAGTTGTAAAAAGGGGCCACTTATTTTTAGATGTGCAGTCTGACACTTGCCTCCCCATTGCAGGGATGTTGGACAAAAATCTGGGTGCCCTTGAGCATTGGTCCCAAGGGCATGGGCCAAGGGGCAGGCGAGGTCCTCATCTCGGGAGTCACAGCAGGCTGGGGAGGACACCAGTGGGGCTCTGCCTTGTCCCTGTGCAGCCACATCTGCCAGTGCCAATCCTGAGGGGCATCTGTTCGGCCCCTTCTCCAGCCTACTGGGCCGGGTTGTGGGGCAGATCTAGTCCAATGCTTCAGCTGTCCACAGGCCAGCCCTCCCTGCCGCCCAACCTCAGCCTGCAGTGCTGCCATATCCAAGGCGCAGAACCAACTATTCCCACCTCTTTGGCAGGCCTGAAAGAACTGTATTGCTGTATTGACTCTAGAAAAAGGTGCATCAGGCCATAAAAGATTGCTCTTCCTGTGATGGTGCCCACTTGTTAATATGACTTTAATCAAAAGCGCAAGCAGAATAACTTATAAATGATGCAGAATCATTAGTGATTAATGCATTGGGCAGGGCTTAACTGTGGCATGCTTTTCCCGGAGAGCCTAGTGGGGTATTGGAGGATCTTGGTTTTACAGGAACGTTTTTAATAGTTGTTTCAGCCTGTAAATTTTTTGGAGCCATTGCATTCACAGATCTTTACAGCAGCAGATCTGGCATAAGCCTGCTTTGACCTCGGCTATAGAGCAGGCTGGAGAACAATAGGTTTGATGCAGGGATAATATGGAAAGCTTTCTATGGTGTGATCTATGCTTTGGAGGTCTTGTCCTAAGGACTTCCAAAGAGGTCTCATCTCACACATCTTTGGGGGGGCTAAACATAGCACCTTGTTTCTAGGGTAAATTTCTCTAGTTTCAGTTTCTGCTATTAGATTTTTTCCTGTCTCTTCCTGCTAGGTGTGCAAATCCTTTGTGCTCAGAAACATCTTCACAGCGTCACTTGCAAACTGACCAAGTGACACTGATTTTCCCCCATGAAGAACTGCAGCCTGGATGCCTTCAGCTCTTACAGTCACACAGGTTCAGGTCTGTCTGCCTGGAGCCTGCAAGAGGCATGTTTACAACACAAGAGGTCTGACCAGCCATGCCTGCTGTGGCTCTGCCCTGTATGCTCTCACCCTCTTCTCTGTCAAGCTGGGGCATTTGGAGACTGCCTCTGGGTGTTAGAGCAAAGCCTGCTGGCTCTAGTTGTACTCCCTTTGTAGTTTCATATCAGGGTGGTACCCACCCTGGGGCACACTGGTGTTACCAGTGAGTACAGGTCCTTACAAAGGGCCTGTGCGTGCTATAGCTAAGTACAGTTCAAGCAATACTCCCAGCCCCGTGTGGGCTCAACAGCACGGCTCATGGATCAGTGCAGTGTTCTTTTTCTCGAATCAGAGAATGACTCGGCCCCAGAGCCACATCTCAGCATCCCCAGCCTGAAAAGCTGGGCTGGGCCAGGCTAAGCTCCCTGCAGAAGCCCAGAAAATTCCTGTGCGGAGCAGGGAGCCTGCTACTGGCTTCATCCACTGACTTTCACGTTGCGGAGATCTCAGACCCTAGTTTTAATTTCCCTAAGTCCACTTAAAAGTATGGGAAGCCAAACCACCCACTTTGGACATGCTCAGACCCTTTTCCATTCTGTTAGATGTAAAAAGCTACTTAATTTATTAGTGTAGATGCATCCTGTGAAGCGCTAGGTCCTGTTCTTGGCCTGAGGCCAGCTGGCAAAGTCTAGCTACATCCATAGCACTAAACTCTTGACTTCCAGAGAGGGGGAGCACATCAGTGCTACCTATTAGGAACCATGAATGATTTGTGCTAGCTCCTGAGCCATGCCCAAGAGTGGTTTGGGTGCATGCTGGCTGCTTCAGGCCAAAGAAGTCCAGGGACCATTTTAATCCAGTGGTAGAGATCACTAGATTCCTGAACCGTTTCTGACCCCGTTACATTTACTAGTGTAGTGATAGCCTTGGACAACCATCTCTCTTACTCCTAAAGGCAGGGATGAATGTTGCAGGTAACAGACCTTTTCTTCAAATTCTTCTGCCTGGAAGAGTGCAAAAGAGTGGATATTTGCTAGCTGACAGGGTACTGACTGCAGCTCAGCTGTTGGTTGTGCAGCACTGGCCATGGCTGGACCAGAAAGTCAGAGCACATCCATGTGGAGCTCAGCTCCAGTATGCAGAGAATACATGGGCCCCAGTCAATGGCCAGGTTTGGGACCGCAGCTCTGCTCAGCCTGTTTCCCTGTTGGCTTGTGGAAGAATGGGGTGTGCAGATATGGACGTGTCTCAGGCACCCTCTCTCACTGGTTAGACATGTATTTGATGAACAGGATCCTCACTGGCAAAACTCTAAGGAGACACGAACTCCATGGGGAAAAAAAGATACCTGAGTATCTTTGAATTCTGTCCAGTTCCTCAGCCTTCTGGTCAGAAGTGGTGTCCTTGTTAGTGTTGTCTTCACTGACAGTATCACCTGGTGGTGACTTACTCAGCCCCAGTGTCTCTCTGGGAGCTTCTTTTTGGGCTCTGTGAGTGACCTTCCTGTCCATCTTAGTCATCCTTGGCAGACCACAGTCCTATGTCTCCCAGAGAGGGAATTGCAGCCTTTTCCTGGTTATGTAGCTGGATATATTCAAATACAAATGAATACATTTTAACAGCTGACCTGCAGAAATGACCTTTCCCTATCACTTATTGGTTTTTTTAGTTTGGTTACTGTCTTCTTTTTTCCTGTTCTCCATTGCCCTCCAGGGCTCTGTCTTCCCAGTATAAATCACAACATTAAACTTGTGCCATGCTTGCAGCCTGTAGAAGGACACTGTCTTGTTTACAGAGAGAGAGGACACAGGAACAGCAGCCTCTGTGTCTTTTTTTGTGCACTCCAGTGTCTAATTTTCAGGCAGAAGGCTTTGTGTGCAGGTCCGTGTAACTGTGTAGGACTCTGCCATGGTCCTAGTTAGTACTGTGTAAATCTCTCAATGATACTGGTACAAACTGTGGGACAATCAGACCAGCTTCTCACAGGACAGCAATGACTGAGTGTTGCTGCCTCGCTGCAGCCAGCTTTACAGTCCCCGGCATTGCACTGCTGGGAAAGTCAGCTCTGTCCTCTGCTCTCTGTGTTGGGCTTTCCTCCCTGCTCTAGAGCAGAGAGTAATGCCAGGCAGATGAGATGGCCAGATTGAGTTGCATAGTGTGTTTATTCCAAGCTGCCCCATTTTTCTGTCACAGCTGATATATAAATACTGTGTCTGTGCTGCTGCCTACGCAGTTCTGGGTGGTGTGCCAGGCATCTGTGATGTGCGCATCCACAGGGCAGCCCCAGAGCTTGGAGGAGCCTGATTTTACCATCACAGTCTTGATGTAGAATTGCTTTAATGTAGGGTGTGTTTGGACTCTCTGGACCCTACAGAAACGTGGGACTTGCCTGCCAACAAAGACTTCTAGTACCTGCCTGGACTGAGCAGAAGCAGGTCATGTCAGGCCACCCAGCTTCTGCTATTGCTGGAGCTGAATGCAGTAAACCTTCCAGCAGACTAACGTCTGAGCAGCAGCGTCCTGCTCGACCGTGAAGGTACCTCAGACCGTAAGCAGCTGTCCTCATGGAGAGCTGATGTGAATGTCATCCTCCTGTCTGATGGCAGAGCCACTGCAATGCTCTGAGACTGGCTGTAAGGGCTTTTCTCTGTATGTGTTTTTAATCACAGGGACTAGTTAAATTGCCCTGATGGTCTCTTACACTGTGTAATGCTTTGTTGCTCAGAACAGGCCTCTGAGCATTTCCCATTACAATGTCTGCAAGGCAGAAGGAGCTTGCCAGGCCCTTCATGTCCCAAGCTGGGTCTGGCAGCCTACACTGCTGTATGTGGTCAGCACTACTAACTCCTTTTTCATGGAACATGTATTGCACACATTGGGCCGTGTCTGCCCTGCAAGCAGGCTCTCCGGGGAAGAGCCAGTCAGGCAGATGCCTCCTGAGCTTGTGTTCCTTCTCCGCCATGGGACAGTGCAGGGGCAAGGTATGCAGTGAGCATGTTTCTCGCCAGCAGCCAGGCAGGTAGGAGCCCTGGGCAGCAAGCAAACACTGCCAAATCATGCCATAGAGGGGCACCTGTGCAGGTAGGAAATGGCTCTGCCTGCACCCCGCTGCACCGTAGGCAGCTGCCACCCAGCCTGGTGAGCGCCGTGCCGTGCACATCACCTGCTAGTGGGGGCTCAGCCTCCTGACCTGCTGTGCTGCTTCTCTCCTGGGGACAGACCTGCCAGAAAAGCTGCTCTCTGTAGCCCTGGCGCGCCTGCTGCTGTGGGCAGGTGTTGGGGATGGCCCTGCATGGTGGGGTGCAGGGGTAAGCACGTGTTCTGAGAGATCTTCCTTGCCTCTTTCCTGTGCCCTGTTTTGGTCCATCCCTGGCTCACGCAGACAGGCCACCATCCCCTGTCAACGTGACTGTGACGCAGCTGAAGGCCAACTCTGCCACTGTCTCGTGGGATGTCCCCGAAGGAGATGTGGTCATCGGCTATGCCATCTTACAGCAGGTATCCAGGCTCTGTCCCCAGGGGGTTGGGGAACCCCCCCCCCCACACACACACACACTGATTACCAGCACGCTCTTGTCTGCCCTGGCTTTTGCCACAGTTTGGAGCTCCTCTGGCACCTGCCTGAGACCACCCTTCCTGTTGGGACCCCTTGCCAGGGTGCCACATCTGAGACCTCTATCCTGGTGGGAGGGACCAGACCATGGGTGCGTTGTGGGCAGCTGTCCTTCCAAGGGCTTCCCTGGGATTTCCCTCCGTAAGGGCAGCACTCCAGCCTTGATGTAATCCTTCTTTGCCTACCTTGCTCCACCTCCACAGCCCCAGGTGGTGGGAGCTTCTCATGGAGGTGCCTGAATGGTGGGCTTTGCAGGGATGCTGCATAGCAAAGTGCTGACCAGCCTGGCCCACCCCAGGGATGGACGAGTACCTGGGAAGGGAGGATCATGGGCAATGTGCCCAGCACAGCCCTGCAGACAGGGCCTGTGTCTGACCGCTCTTCGCTCTGGCAGCGGCAGGATGGACAGATGCAGCGCTTCATCCGGGAGGTGAACACCACCAACAGGGCCTGCGTGCTGTGGGACTTGGCAGAAGATGCTGATTACATCATCCAAGTGCAGAGCATTGGCCTGTATGGGGAAAGCCAGGCCAGCAAGCGTGTCCACTTCCGGACACTGAAGGAGACTGACCGCCTCCCCTCCAACAGCTCCAACCAAGGTGAGGCAGCTCCTGCCAGCTCGCCCGGGTGCCAGTGGTGACACCATGCCTGGAGATCTCCACACTGCGTGAGGCAGGGATACAGCAGACAGGAAGATGTTGCCCTGGGCAGCAGACTGCATGGTAGCAGGGTTGTACAGGCTACTGTTGTGTCCACTATGCTCATGATAATGCCCCCAAACCCTGACTTACTGCCCTTCTATCCCAGGTTTTGGCAGCCTATCCAGCTAAGCAGGCTGTGGCCAGCACATCTAAACTGCTGTCTGTAGGAAACAAATATTGAGTTCTGATCAGAGAACTGGGGCTCTCTGATCTCCCAGCCTGCAAGCTACCGAAGGACAAACACCAGAACCCCACCATCCCCTTTCCCCCTCACATCCACATTGTGCCTCTTGCCTCGGGGTCTTCTAAATGCTGATCATGAATCCAAGAGAGACAATGCCCAGATTGGGTCCATCAGGCCTGGGAGCCTGCCTCCAGCACTAAACCTAAGCCAGTGACTTGGGAAGAGTATAACAGGGCAAGTACATAGGATACTTTCCACGATATTCTTTTCAACTCAGAGCCTTCCCAGTCTGTCCTATTCCCCATGTAGTGAGTAACGTGGAGTTGATGAATTCCCTTTCCATGCATTGTGAAGTCCTCGCTTGAGCTTGCACAAACTTTTGGGATCCCTGATATCCTTTGGCAGGGAGAATGGTTTGACACAGGTCAGCCACATGCTGTATGTCCTCTCCCCAGGCAAGGTGTCATCTTGCACCTGCTCTTGTCTGGGGGCGTGGGAGGTGGGCCTCCATCATAAGGAGCTCCTTCTCAGATGCTTGAGTATTGCTGGTCCATGGAGTAGGTGTTGGTGGGAGGGTGACTGCTGTCAGCCCTGCCATGTGCTCTTCTCCACAGGTGACATCACCATGGAAGGGCTGGACAAGGACAGGCAGCTGCAGACAGGCGAGATTATCATCATTGTGGCTGTGCTGCTCATGTGGGCAGGTAAGTGCTGTAAGCAACGTCCCAGCGGGTTGGTACAGGGACATGATGTGTAGTCCGCAAAGAAGGTGGGGCTCGGAAGGTGCAGAGGAATATAGATACGGGGTTGGCATCCTCCTTCCCAGCGAGTCCATGGAGTTGCTGTAGGAGCTTGAGCCAGCAAGCCAGGGTGTGAAGAGGATCTGCAGCCACCACTGCACACAGTGACAGCCTGGAGCACATGGCCTGGCTGGCCTGGTTGCTATGCTGGAAGAGCAAGAGACAATGTGGGACACAAGCAATACAGAATTACAGGGTAGGAGCCCCACGGTTGGCATTAATGAGCATGTAACTCAGACCTTAGCTTGTTTGACATCTTTTTGATAACATTGCTGCTGGCTGGTAGTGGCTGTGCCACAATCTGCTTAAACTGTAAGATGTGTGAGCTCCTCCTACACAGCACCTGATTAAAGCCAGTGCTCTGGGAAACGGCAGCTTGCCTGGGAGCAAGGAAGTTTAGGGGATAACAGGCAGCTCCTGACTGGTCACACACACAGCTTCTGTGAATAGGAATTCATTTGTCTCCTACCCCCTGTGCAGTAAATGAGGATTTTCTAGTGATATCTTGCAGAAGTCTCTCCTTTTCCTGGCTCTGAACACTTTTATAGTGCACTGGAGGAAAACACAAAATGGCTCCTGGTAATTGCACCCCCAGTGCAAATTGGTATGTCAGAGTACCAAGGGGGAGAAATCAGATCCAGTCTGCAGGTGGCTGTCATAGCACACCTGTGGATCGAATGGGTCAAACACATCTAGTGATTACTGTTCAAAGCATTGCTTTAGAGTCCTGAGTCTGGGGTCACAAGATGTGGAACATGCAGTGTGTAGGACAGGAGCTGTAAAACTCTATTAATAGAGTGACCCCAAATCAGTTTGCAGGGCAGGACAAAGCCAAAGGCTGCCTTTCCTGAGGGCTGCAAGCACCAGGCCACACTGCTAGGGCAGTAAGTTTAGTGCCTTGCTGGAGATGCTCAGAAACCCACTCAGCTGCTCACTGACCCCGAGGGCTGTCTATCTCTGGATGCCTCAACATCTGCCTTTGTCCTTGAAAAATTGGCTTGTTGAGCACCTCGTGCATACCCTGGTGGCTGCTGGAGAGGACTGCCTTGACGCACCTGTGCAGATGGTGGGTGTGGGTGACCAGCACCTGGGAATGCCCTGGACCTCTGGCTGCTCTCCAACTGGGATGCTCTGGGGAGAGGAGGCAGGGGGCAGTCCATGTAGAGTCCTTCACCTCTGCTTGTCTCTCCGCAGCGGTGATTGCCCTCTTCTGCAGACAGTATGACATCATCAAGGACAATGACTCCAACAACAACAAGGAGAAGACGAAGCCATCCTCAGAGCACAGCACGCCAGAGCGGCCTACTGGAGGGCTGTTGCGGAGCAAGGTGAGTGGGGAAGGTTGGCAGGAGGGGCAGTGTGCAATGCTTACCATAGGTTGCTGGCTGGAGTGGAAACAGAAATGCCCCAGCTTGTGCTCTTGCCCCTAAAACCAAGGAGTGCAGTGAGTTCTGGCCTGGCTGAGGCTGTGTGCGCCCTGCGGGTGGTTGCAGAAGAAACAGCAGAAGGGAGGGCAGGCTACATCAGTTGGAATGGCTCCCATGTTGCAGGGTGGTTTTTGTCCTCCCACTGTTCCAGCCAGCACCTTGCCCTGTCACTGTGCCCCTCCAAGGCTGCACGTCTTCTGCATCCCATTGAAGGGTCTGGTTTGGGCCCGTTCAGGTAGGAGGCAGCCAAGTTGGGCTGCTGTTCCTGTGGTTCAGCCTTCACTGGGGCCTATTCGAGGCCATCAACACATGGGTCATTCTTGGGAAGGACCCCAGAGCCCTCTCCCCATTCCGATGCAGTGACTGTGACAGGTTTTGGGTGGGAAGAGAGCGGCCCATTCATCTGGCTCTTCTCCCTTTGATGCCTGACAAGGACAGTGATTTATAATCCTGGTGCGCATGCTGTGATGGGACTTTGCATTAGGCTTCTCATCTACCTCCTCTGTCAGTGGTGCCAACTCCACTTTCTGTGTGGCCCATCTGCCCCTCTGCTTCCATGTCTCCTTGGTTCCCAGCAGATGTCGGGGGCAGAAACTTCCTTGTTTGGACCTCAAACCCCCAGTCCTCTCTCCTCCTCTACATTATGCAGCTCCCCAATTACTCCTTGCCAAAACATCCCTCCTTTTGGATCCCTCCTCCAAACTGACCCCACTCATACTGGGCCACAAAAGCAGGTGTACAAGCCCTTCCTGCTGCCCACTAAGATCTTCACCTACACAGGGCTGTTGTACCTGAGTGTGTCTCTTTGTGTTCACCAGATTCCTGGCATTCTTGCAAGTGACAGTACTGCAAGTTTATCCTCGCAGTCCTTGATTACAAAACTGGAAAGAAAGCATAGGAAAGAAAGGGTAGTGATGTAATTATGCTCTGTATCCCCTTCCCCTACTGGCTTCAGGAAAAAAACTGCTGTAAAGTAGCAGACAGCAGTGCAGCTCTTGGACTGAGCCCTGTTACAAAATATGGCCACGAGGACTTTCACCCTCCCGCACCCTGCTTCATTGGGCTCAGGCTGAGCTAGAGAATGCATGTGCAGCAGGCAGGTCCCCTTCCCTTCCCAGCAGCTTCTCTGAATTCACTTATCTGCTGTGCTATTAAGTGAACAGAGACTTTTTAGTGTAAAGGAAGGTTCCTGCTTGAGACAGTGAGAAAATCCACCTCACTGCATGCAGCCTTTAATTCCCTTAGTGTACTCCAGAGCTGTCATGGGATGTGCCTGGCATTCAGCAGGCCTCTTCTGTCCTTCCACTCCTGTCATCACACACTGTCCTCCTAACCCCTCAGTTACTTTTTCTGCTCTGAGATCTGCACCTGTCTCCTGTCCAAGGGCATCGGGTGTAGCACAGCTACCACTAGGATGGGGCAGAAGTCTACTGTCAGAGGTTTGCAGGCCCTGGAGGCAGAGAACGTGGGGCAGGATGCCTGGTTCACCTGGGAGCATTAGGGCTAGCAGAGGGCAGAAGGGTTTCCTAGGGAGTGGGGTGCAGTGTGGTTGATGGGGCTCACCTGGGGTGAGGCAGGATGATGTAGCTGAGTTACTTGCGCAGGAGGGCAGCTCAGTGCAAAGGGCTCCATCTCCTGGTGTTTCAGAGTTGGTCCTCTTGGTCTGCTTAGGGAGATGCTGAAGCCAGGTCTCTGCTGCAGCACCCAAACCCTTGCCTAGGACAGAGGGCTCAGCTGCAGCTGGCAGCCCCTTTGCGGAGGAGGTCTGCTGGTCTTGATGCCTGCCAGAGTAGGCAGGGGACTCTGCTGCAGGGCCTGCATCCCAAGGGCTTAGCAAAGCAGGGCCTTAAAGCAGATTTTTCTCCCATAGAAGAAGTCCCCCTCTGTCAATATTATCGAGGTGTAAGTGCAGCACCAGCTTGGCATCTGGGGTCCTGGACATCCTGTCAGAGCCGAAAGCAGGCCTGGGAAGAAGAGGCAGCATTGGCGCCCAGCCTGTCATTCTGCATGCGAAGATCTGCATATCAGAACTTACGCTTTCCCAATGGCGCCTGTCTGGGGACGTGCATGGAGCCGTGCATGCAGTGCGTGGCCCCAGCTATCCTGCGTGCCTGGCCGTGCTCCCCTGCCACTGAGGAGCAAGGAGCTGAGCAAGGAGGGAGAGCCACAACCCCAACCGGGGAGTTGGGACGCCTGGGGGAGCAGAGGGGCTGGTGCTCCTTGCAGCCCCAAGGGGAGGCAGCATTCCTGTCCACTAGCTCGGTCAAAGGCCTGGGCACAGCTGCATGACACCAGACTCCTGCCTGGCAGGCAGCCTGGAGCAGGCCCTGCTCTCAGCCGCTGTGTCCAGGCTCAGAGGGCTGCCTGTGAGGGGTGAGAGCTGGTTCCCCTTTCAGCCCCAAGATGGAGGGGATGGGGCAGTGCCGGCGCTTGCCCCAAAGCCACCAGGGAAATTGCAGTGAGGTGGCAGGAGGGTTTGTCTGTGGGGCTGGGCCCAGTAGGCACAGCAGGTCCCTGCTGGGGCATGGGGCTCCTCTGCACCCAGTTGTGGCAGTGCGGTGGGCTCCCAAGGCCTCTCCCAGCCATGGGGAGAAGGACACAGAGCGTAATGAGCCATTGGTGCTGCAGAACCTGGCTGGGCTGCAGAGCTCACAGCTGGGGCAGGGAGTGCCAGCAGGTGGGGAGCAGCCCTATGGGATGGTATGAGCCCCACAGGGCTATGGGGGCAGACAGGGTGAGGGCGAGGCTGCGGTATTGCTATTTCCCCAGTAGGAAAATCAGTCCTGGCAAGCTCAAGCTATTTGTGGGGGAGCTGCTGAGCACCCTGTGAGCTGCGTGATGCTGGTGCTGCCTAGAGATGGTGTAGTGAGACCCAGCAAGGTCTCGACTGGCTCAGCAGGATGTGCACTGTGGAGCCCATCACTGCTCTGGGGACAGCCCCAGCTCCGGCAGCATCGCGTCCTGCTCCTGACCCCTTCTGTCCTGCTGGTGCATGGTCACTGCTGATGCTCTCTCCTGGAGCTGGCCCTGTGTCCTGCCCCAGGCTGGCTGGTGCAACACAGACCTGTGGGAAAGGGCTGGCTGTGAATGCCCAGAGCTGGTGGACCTCTGTAGCGCTACAACCTGTCCGATCTGCTTGGCCATGCAAGGATAGCATGAGCCGTTGACCACACTTAGGCTGGGGAAGAGGTGGCATCTGGACCATGTTTGTGTGCTCCCCAGCACTTGCAGGCAGAAGTCTGTCACTGGGTATCGGCACTGCTCTGTGTCGGAGGCCGAGGCCTGGTGATGCCTGGCCCAGTCATGCCCTCCTGCTGAGGGGGGACACGAGGAGCAGAGATGGCAGCTGGTGGCCTTGCTGCTCTCTGCTCTATGGTGTGCAACTGAGCTGGGGTGCTGGCCCTGCAGCCCCCAGATTCAAGCATCACAGGATCCAGCGTCTTCCAGGAATAAACCTCCCAGCAAAGCACTTTCAGGACTCTTCCTTCTGGGTGCTGCTCAACTCCTGCTGCAGAACTAGGTGGGGAAGGGGTAGGGTAAGCAACTCTCTGTGGCAGGGTCTTTTCAATAAAAGCATTCTGGCTTAATGGCAGCATTGTTCCTACAGAGTTGCGGGTTGGTGCAACTGAGAGAGAAAGAGAGCGTGTGTGTGTGTGTGCGTGCGCGCACGTGTGTGTTCGTGTTCACCGATGCTTCTTGCCCTTCTGTGTACTCCTCTTAGAGGGAGACCTGTTCTTGCCGGAGGTGTCAGGGGGCATGTGTTTTGCTGGAGTAGGTTCCCCCAGGCTGTCCCGCATCTCTCTCTGGCCTTTGAGGGGGGGGGTGCCAGTGCTGCAGGCTGGGCAATGTTGTGCTGCTGGATGAATATAAGTAGGTGCAGAGCAGTTGCAGACCATTTCCTTTGAGGATGGCACCACAAATGCTTTCTTTGCACACATTAAATGGGATGTAGGGAGTCTGCTGCTGTAGGGAGACGTCCTGGCAGCAGGGCTGGGAAGGATGATGAGGCCAGATGGCAGCAGGCTGCTGGCAGGAGAGGGCTGTGCTGCTTCGCAGTCAGGTGAGGCAAGGGGTCCAGGATGGCACAGAGGCTTTGAGAAGCAAAAGCACCTTCAGAGTGGGGTCCAAGTCCTGCTGTGCAGTGCTGTAACTCAGGCTGCAGGGAACACAGTCATAGTGCCAGAGAAGAGGTAACTTTATGCCAAACCATCTTGCTTTAACAGCTTATTTTTGTTTGTAGGGGAGGTACATTAAATAATTAGGAATGTCAGGGCAACACAAAAAAAATTGTTTGTTTAAAAAAAAAAAATAAAGCTCTGGTGCTATCCCAGTGGGTCACCGTGGACACATCCCTTCTATCATGAAGGCTTTAAACAGACCAAAGGTGCATGCACAGAAACAAAGTAGTGTAAACTGCACAGTGGAGTCAAGGAGCCAGGTAGAAGGGGAAAAAGTCATATGTCAAGATTGTGGGCAAATAAAAGACCACAAATGTCTGGCACATGAAGTGTAAAATCGAGGCTGGGTGTTGAGGCAAAATAAACAACAACAAACTCTCCTTTTTCATACCAAGGCAGGGTTGGAGAGCTACAGAGACAAACACTGCATGGAAGAGACAGCAGCAGTGCCAGACAAAGGTGGTATGTGAGGTGCATAAAAGTGAGTGAGCCCAGTGGGGGACACAGCAACCATGGGCCATGGGGTCAGGGCCGGGGGCAGGGTGGTGGTGGTGGTGGTTGCAGGTGAAGCCCAGGGACTCATAGACATTGTTGCCTGCTTGGGCCCTGCACACCGAGACACTGCAGCACCAGCGCCTAGCACTGCCTGGAGTTGCCACTGCAGCTGCAAGGGCCTCTGGGTTGCTCTGCCCATGACACCCACTGCTAACACTGGCATTGAGCTGTAATGCAGTTGCACAAGGAACGGACTGCATGGCACATACAGCGCAAACCCATCGAAACCATTTTAAGAGGCCATTTTAAGAAACCATTTTGGAAAGCATTAGCACACAGCAGGTGATGAACCAGTTGTTGGTGAAACCGTGCAGGGCTGTGGTGTTCAACATAGCCACAGCAAGGAACACACAGCAGCAACTGCATATCCTGATGTGCCTATGCAACCGCGACCAGAACACAAGGAAAACCACTCGTGACAAGGTGAGAAGGACCTGGTGGCTCGCTGTCACACTAGCAGGGTAGCAGAAATGCTGTCACAGTACATACAAGGGAACCAGCCCTAGTGTCACATATGCACGTTTCTGCCCATGCACAGCAAGGGGAGCTAGCTGGTAGTTGTAGGCAAGGACTGTGGGGAAGCACTGGGACAGCTTACCAAGACCACTGCTGCCCTGCTCAGCAGGTCCATTGCACTGCTTCTTGCCCTTCTTCCAAAAGAAGAATAGAAATTATTAGAACAGGACTAATGATTTAAACTGTGCCTTGGCACAAAGTGGCTGGGTGCCTGTGTCTAGACTAGTGCATGTGTTTCTGGTCCAGCCCCTGTCAAAAGTTGAGAGGACAGCATAGTCCAGCCACAGCAAGGAGAAAGACAGTTAAGCAGCCTGGCCTGCCTCCACCTGGAAATGTGACCGACTGCCCTTCCAAGTGGCAGGAGTTGGTAGAGAAAGAGCAATTATTCCCATCACAACAGCAAGGGGCCTCTGAAGCAATCAACATGTGCCACGGTTAGCAGCAGTGTTGTACACACACATACACACACACCTCCACCCCCACACCCCCCACTAACTGCAGCACTCAGCTGCAGGACCTCACAGATGCCAAGCGGTTAGCCTGGTTCAACATGGGGCTGGAAGCCACACCAAGAGCTGTTAAACCCACAAAACCACCAGGTCAACCAGCTCCGAGTGTGGAAACCTGAAAGGGCCTGACAAGGACCTGCTCTCCCTAACAAGCCCTCTGCTGTGGGAAGAAAGGCAGGAGACCAGGGCTCAAACATGCAAATCCACAGGTGAGGAAACCATACCCAGGTCTTGACTGCCCCACAGAGGCCCAACCCTTCTCATGATGCCTGCTACAGCATTCCTCCGGAGACCAGCTCCAAACCGCACACAGAGAGCATTGGCCAGCTGGGTTTGGGGCCGAGGAGGCCTGGCAGCATCACCAGCCTCAGAAGGGGAACAATGTCGCAACATGACAGGAACCCAGCAGCAAGGCCAGGAAGCAGCTACAAACACCACACCTGCAGGACAAATCAGGCATCCTGCTGGCTGCAGCCTCCTCTGCTCTGGGACTGAAACAAAGCACGTGACTTACCAATGTCTCCAGGCCACAGCCAGGGGTAGAGCAGGGCCAAGGCACCCCAGGATAGAGCAGGCACGTGGGGAGAGAGAAGAATAGGATGAAGCCTGCTGGCACAGAGGGCTCGTGGCTGCCTGGCCTCAGCCTGCTCATACGTCAGCTCTGGTCCACGCAGACAATGCTTGCGCTAGCCTGGGCAAGCTCCCCCCGGATAGAAGGACAAGGGCCACCGTAGGCCCTGCTGGCCTGTGGCACAGGGGGAATGGCTCCCTCAGGGCAGGCAGCCAAGGAGGGCACCAGAGGCCAAGGGTGGCTGCAGACTGCTTGTCAGCTGCCTCAGGCACACCTCAGCCCTCGCCGTGGGCCAGGAGGCCTCACTGCAGCCAGTGCTGCAAAGGCGCAGCACCTAGAACCCTCACCCACAGCCCTCTTCCAATGCTCAGCCCCAAATGACAACAAGTAAAAAAACCTCAAGTTTATTTCACTACAAAGGCAGAGCTTTCCCTTAAAAACCAGCTCGTTTCACTCATTAGATGGCATACGGCTGAACTGTAGGGGCCCTCCACGCTCCCCCCTCCAGGCCAGGAGCCACTGCTCCCCCAGGGCCACATGCCCCCTTGAGTCGCGAGTCCCACTCCATCCCTGAGGACTGCTCTGCCCTAGCTGGTCCCCAACAGTCATCCCATGGAGTCAGTGGGAGCCACCAAGGGGAGATGCCAGGTCAGCACAGCCCAGGCGTCCTGGCTGTGTCAGGCAGGCCCAGAGCACATGGGGCAGCCGTGCCCACGCGGCCCACACCACAGGAGGGCAAGGCCACAGGGGCAGAGCGAGGAGCATCAGCCCCTTAACCTGAGCAGTGAGCCACTGCAGCACGAGGCAGCTCATGCAGGGGAGAGCAGCAGGCAGAGTCTGCGCTGCACGGCAGCACCACCTGTGGACCCCGTGCCAGTGGGCAACACAGGGAGCAGAGGCAGGCGCTGGCTGACCTGGGCACAGGCACAGGGTGAATCCTGAGTGGCTGGTCCATTGCTGCGAAGACTTGGCTTAGCCCAGGGGGGCCGTGGGGCCAGCACTGCTCGGGCCAGGTGTGGGTGGGTCTCCAACCCCTCCCAGCTACTTCTGGCTGTCTGGGGGTTGCCCCAAGTGCGGCCAACTCAGTGGTAGCTGTGTGGCAGGCGAGCTCACTCCAGGCACAGGAGGCACCGACACTGAAAAGCAAGAGAAGGGAGCCCCAGTCCATGAGATGTGAGGTTGGGAACCCAACATGGCCAGGGTGGGGAAGCAGACCTCCCCAGGAGAGCTGTTGGTCCCCTGCCTCTGCAGAAGACATGCTGGGGGATGTGGCAAAGCATTAATTAGGATGGGAACTTACCTGCTGGGCTATGGGGTCCCCTCCCCAACTCCTCCATGCAGCTTGGGAGAGAACAGAACACCCATCACACCTGCGCAACCAGCTGAGAGAACCTTGCACCTGTGGCCCTCACACTGGGCATGGCACAGTAGTTCCCAGGCACTCAGACTGCAAAAAGCCCTAACCCACTTGCTACCAAACCTTTTTCCCAGGCCAGCCTGCAGAGACCGCAAAGCCACATCTCCCTTGAGGACTGCCCACAGGCAAAGGGCTGCCCCTTCACAGCACCATGCACACAGGTCCAATCTGTACATGTGCTGGCTCCCTGCTGATATTAGCTCAGGCCAGAACACCCTGCGGCACTGACAGCCCTGCGAGGCACTGGCTGCCAGATACACAGAGAACAGTCACGATGTCATAGGCCTGCCACACCCACAGGCACCTCTGCAAAGGCCTATGGGTTAATCTTCCACTTCTGGCCTGGTACTATCGGCTCCTCCTAAGCCCAGTGCAGGCACCAACAAGCTCAACCACCAGGCCCTTGCCTACGCAGGCCCAGCATGGACAGGTCTGCATCCTGGCCCGGGCCTCAATGGGGTCCCTAGTCTCCAGCCAGGGGGGAATCAGTGGGAGGAGATGGGGTAGGGGGGCAACTCTGAGACCCACCTGAGAAGCATCTTCAGACATGCTGGCCTCATCAGAGTGTGGCAGAAACAGTATGAGCTACATCTCTGGGTACCTGCTGAGGGTCAGTGCCTGTCCCTGACAGTTCCTTTTGCCTCTCCACAGTTCAGCTCCCCCATTCACCCCACCTCTCAGTTGACAGAGGCAGAGGAAGCTGCAGGGCACTCCCCCTTGCTCCCATGCAGATCTTCTCCATGTTCCCACCATGCCCATGGCCTGGGGCACAGAGAAAGAAACAGGAACAGAGTTCATCTGTGGGCTCCCTGCACACAAGCAGCAGCTTGCCACCTACCCAGATAAAGCTTCATCAAGGTTGTCATCTTCCTCCTCCTCTTCCTCCTCCTGGCAAATCAAAAAATTTGCTTTACTGCCTGAGCAGGCCTCTGCCAGGAGCCAGGTGGGACTGCTCAGAGCCTGTTCTGGGGCAGCAGGGCAGTCCCCCAGCACCTTCACAGGACACAGTTACCCACCAGGCATGGAACAGGCAAGAGATGTTTACTGGCAGTGGGGGCAAAGAGGGCACCTGCAAGGCTGGGCTGCTGAAATCCTCAGGGCTCAGGCACACAGCAACAGGGGGAGAGACAGACCAAAGGTCTCTTCACATCCACCCAGCCAGCAGAGCACCAAATGTGGGGTGTGAGCTGGGAACAAGCCACAGAGCTGAGAGCTGCTGCACACAGCGCACCTTTGCCTAGAGACAGGACCAGAGTGAGCACGCCTTGCAGCCAGAAGGTCAGGCATAGCCAGGACACACCTGGAAGCAGGCTGCAAGCAAGGATGAGCTCAAGCACTGCCAGTCTGGGCCAGAGCTGGAAGCATGAGGCCAAGGAGTGAGTGTCCAGGGGCTCCTGGTAGGGACAAAGCCCAGCAACACCGGCACTGCCCTGGCCAGCTCTGGACATGCCATGCATGCAGTGCAGTTAGGCAAGGCTGAGGCTCAGCCCAGGCTGGCCAGACAGCAACCGGACACAGGTCCTTCTCCTTCAGAGACACTGTCTCACCCTAAGCTAAGGCACCAAGTGAGCAGAACAGGTCCCAGCTCCCTGTTTGACAGTGCCAGCAGAGCAGGGCTGAGGGCTGCTGCAATGCTGGGCCTGGCAGGAGGCTCCTGGAGCGAACACCACTTGAGGAACTGCTCCTGCCTTGTGAGCCAGGCAGAGCATGGAGTGCCCCTCTCCATGTCAGGCTCCCACGTGTGAGGAAGACCATGCAGACACCAACAGGGTCTCAGCAGGCAGGGAGAAGGGGGCTGTGTAGGGATTACTCTGTCCCTGCCATAGTGTGAGACAGCCCTGGGCACGGGCCAGGCTTGCACATACTGTACCCCAAACTGGTGTCTGAAGGGAGGGCTCCCCGGGGGGGCTGGCTCACTTGCTCTGCCGGGCTCCCTGCTCTCCAAAGCACATGAAGGGTGAAGGGGCTGTTCCTGCCTAGAGCCTGGGACAGGGCAAAAGCAGCAGTTAGTGCCTGCAAACCTGGAAAAGGCACAGCAGAGGATGCACAGGCAGGACCGCGGGCAAGGGACAGATACTGTTGCTGTGCTCTGGAGAGGGCGTAAACAAGGCTGGGGGATCCCTGCTCAGGGCAGGTCCCACAGGGCCCTCAGTGTTGCATCTACTAAATGCAAAAAGAGTGCAGCAGGCACCCCCCCCCCCCCCACCAGAGACAGGCAGGCTCCCCAGATGGGGCAGCAGCAGCAGGGAACACAGCAGCAAGGACACCACTCTCCCTGCTTGGTACATTTCACCAGCCAGGCAGCAAGCCATCTCTCTTCCACACAGCCCAAGGCAGGGTCCTGCACTCCCAGGGCTAGGCAGAGGGAGACATCTGAGAAATTCCTCCTACCTGTATGTGCTGCTTCCCAGAGATCCAGCGCCATCTGGAAGGCCTGGGCCACAGTCAGAGTCACAGCCTGGGCCTGCGGGCAAGAAAGAAGGGAAGTACCTGCTTTCATCTGTGCCCCAGAGCCAGGACCCTCCTCCCCCTCCTGAGACCTGGGAGCATCCAGGCCTCACTGCCCTTCCCCGCAGAACACACACATGGAAGGCCAGAGCTCAGTGCTATGTCTTTCCACCCACCTGGGCCAGCCATCCCCAAGAGGAGATGCCAAAGGAGCTAGGATAGAAGAGCCTCCCATCACTCACCACCCACCTCTGCAGAGGACACATATGCTCTCTGGCTCCATTTCCAGCTGAGGCGCACAGAGGTAGGAGCCATACTGGCTGCACTCAGCAGCACACACTGAAGGGGGAGAAGTAAGGGCCTTGCTCCAGCCCTTACCTCACAGGGCCAAGAGCAGAAGGGAAGTGCTTACAATCTTCTTCTTGGGTGAGAGGAAGGCATGGCACTCCAGGGCCCCGCTCTCCTGGCTCTGGGCAACATAAGCAAACACTTTGTTCTGCAGCTTGTCTGTTGTGCAGTAGGAGATCCTGCAGACAGAGAGGAGCTGCTCAGGGCAGCAGAGAACCCAGCACCAGTCTACTGTCCCAATACATCAACAAACAGTGCTGACAGCTTGACTCTTTCATCTGTCTCCCATAACCAGAGAGCCCAATGCCCCAGCAAGGGCCAGAGTTGCCCAGCACCTAGAGCTGGTGAGAGATTACTGCAACCACATGCATTCCCTCCTGCATTGCCCCCAGTGGGCTCCTCAGTCCTCTGATGCCCAGTTCAAGCAGAGGTGAGAACTCGAGCACTGAGACAAAAGGAACACAGAAGGGCAGGTGATTGCCTCCAAGGACAACATGGGAGGCAAGGCAGTAGGTGTCTGCCTTGACACATCCGCTCTGGTGCTGAGACCAAATTTTGCACCAAGGAGATGCCCTGTATCTGTTTCCCATGCAGCCACCAGCCTGCATCCATGCTCGCCGCACTCGGCATCCACAGACACCCAGCCCAGCCACAGCACGGCTCCTGCTCGCCGCTGCGCGCCCCCTCCCCCCCCCCCCCTCCCCCCGCCCCCCGCCCCCCCCAGCCCCCCCCCCCAGCCACAGCACGGCTGGGGGGGGCAGAAAGCCCCCACATCAGCTCTCCCAGCAACTGCCTGCAGCCAAACTGAGTGAGCACCCTCATCCTATTGCAGCCACGACAGGGGCCCTGTGTCACTGGAGAGGCAGACATGCCACCCTGCCCTAGCTGTGGAGGCTTTCCACCCATTGGCTCCAACATCCTGCTGATATTCAAAGGACACAGGCAGACCCAGGGAAATGGCCAGATAGACTGACTTAGAGCACAGGGCTGCCCAGGCCCCTGCCTGCATTCAGCCCCAAGGAAATGTTTTCAGGGCACAGTAGGGGAGAGAGGGGAGAGAACACTGGCCTTAGGGAGCCAGAAGGAAGGCATAAGGCAGATGGTACCACTGACTGACACTTCAGCTCTTCCCGGCTGCTCAAGATCCCATCAGTCTCCAGCTGGCTGCTGGGAAATACCCCAGCCCTGGTGCCAGTCCCAGCCCTCCCCACACGCTGTGCCCACCTGTAGATGGAGATGTTCTCAACCATCTCCTTTGTCTCCGCATCCTGCAGTGAAATGCCCCTCGGCGACACTGTCAGAATCACCTTCTGGAACTTCCTAGCTCCCACCCGTGCCTGGCAGTGGGGAGACATCAGTCACCTGTGCAAACCTGGCAAGTGACTTCACCCCTCGTCAGCACCAGCCACCCAAACTCTACACAGGACACTATGCACTTGACCCCCCACTGTAAAGGCTCCTGCCACAGAGGTGACAAAGCAGAGCCTGGAGATCAGGCATGCTGTGCACAGAATACTCCTGGGGTCCATTCATGCTACTGCCATGCACATGGGAAAGGACAGGCCCCATCTCCCCCAGCATCTCACCCACCTCTCCGTGTAGCAACAGACACGGCTCCACTGCTGGAGTGCTCCCAGGGGTGAGAGCAAGCAGCAGTGGCTGTCCTGCAGAAAGACAGCTTTTCCCCACAGTGCAGAGGTGGAGACTGGCCAGATTTCTGCACACTACTCCCCTTGGGAACAGCAGGGTCCCCTGCTGGGGGCATAGGGTTGAGATACAGCCACTTCCTCAGTCTAGGGGCTGGACCCTGAACTGGCCCTTCTCCATTCAGGGACAGAAGGGCCCCAGGGCCAGCTCTCACCATGGCAACGATCCGACGGATGGCAGCTGCTGCCATGTCCTCTCCTTTGGGTTTCTCCACCAGCGTCATGCCCAGGTACTTGAGTGTGAAGCACATCCCCTCAAGCAGCGGCTCCTGCATATCAGCCCAGTTCTCAGGGAGCTCTGCAAAGACAAAATGCCACAGCAGCATGAGCCACGTGCCAGCAGCCCACGGTTAGTCCCAGCAGAACTACTCCAGCTTCAGCGGTCCCAGCAGTGGTGCTGCTACCTGCATGCAGCAGGGCACTCTCCTAGCTCCACAATGTCCTTGGAAGAGGAGGGGAATGAGATGATAGTTTACCCTCAAAGCTTTTAGCTCCCCACTCTGGGGTTACAGGCTCTGCTAGCACAGATGGCAAGTTTCTGCGCATCTACAGTGGGGCTCAGATGCTGCTCAGTGTTCAACACTATCCGCAGAAACCAAGCATTCCTAGTATCATCGGTTTCACTAGAAGCGAAATGGGCAGTGCTCTGTACTGTATCCATTTCACCCACCTAAGCCACCGGCACAACTCGGAAACAGCAGCATTTGCTGCCCCACTCACTCAAAACAAAAACCCCAAGTTACCCCAGTGTAATCGAAGCCAAATCCTCTGTTAGCTATGACCTGCAGCAACAGGCTGCCAGGAAAGGGGCAGCTTGTCCAGCATTCAGTCCAAGCAAGTGTGACTGGGAACCAACTGCACCATACAGGCTCTATGTTAAGGAAGAGCTCAGACTGATGTTTCAAGGATGCAAACACTAGCTTCCAGGAAAACATGATTTATGAATGAATTCCAAGGCAGAGAGGGAACAGAGCTCCAGCACACACCACTGTGCAGGTCATGGAATGAAAGGGCCCTGGCCTCTGCTTCCTGTGTCATCTCTTTTCAAAACTCATTGCTGCAGTCAAAAAATCAATGCCTGGAGCACTTGTCCACTCAGGCCTCGCCCCTAGGGACAGTCCTCAGCATGTTCAGCTTCCTCCAGAAACCAGGCAGTTTCACTAGTGTGTTCTGCCTGCACTGCAGGACATACCAGTAGGAGAAGGAGCCCTGGCCCTACTGTCAGACCTGACACCACTATTGTTGGCAGAGGACACACAAAACAAGCACCATAGAAGCACCTATTTAACCTCTGCTCCCATAGGACAAAGTCCCTGGCTTCAGCAGAAAGCTCACCATCACTGAGGGCAAAAGTGTTGTTTATCAGACTAGTGCCACACAGAGAGGAACAATTCCCTTGTGCCAAGCACCTCCTGGTGATGTTTTCAAGGAGAGCTGAAGTAGCTGTTAGCACACATCTACCTTCCTCAAACCTGAAATGACACCAGGGTAGTGACACAGAGGATCTGTAAAAGGGCTAAGAAACAGGGAGCCACGCTCCCTCTCCCTTGCTCTTGGCGATGCAGCCCAGAGAAGGGGAAGAGGACAGGACAAGAGCAGTTACATAAACCTTCACAAACACCAGGTTTGCACACTTCCCTTGGGGACTGCTTAAGCATCTACTGTTCACTCTATTATAATTCTTTTCAGGGTTATTTTTCATCTCTTTCCTGGGATTAACTCCCAGAACATTACTGGCACATTTGCAGAAAGCTCTGACTCATAATTGGGATAAAATGAGTCCATGGGGAAAGCAGGAGACCTTATTTGTGCAGCATACTCCTGTACGAATTATAACTTCGAGGGAACCCATCTCGGTACCACGCAGGCGACAGGCCCCTCTCTCTGGGGCAGAAGAGCCCTGTTTCACCTAAATCTTGGAGAGCAGCCTAGGTGTGCTGGGGCTGCCACAGAGGGCTCTGCTGCCCAGATGCGTGTTTGGGCAGCTGTGACCGAGGCAGCCCAGGTGCAGCCCGTCTGCACACAGGGCTCCACGTACCCAGGATCCAGCTGTGCCGTGGGCAGCGCAGCAGCCCACGAGTGATGCACAGGCCTGCCGCGCTCATTGCACGTGAGCAACCCCACCACCTCACCCCGATCCCATGCCCCAGCCCCACGGCCCACCAACCCACCCGAGCTCACGGCCTGACCCACCACCTCACCCCGATCCCATGCCCCAGCCCCACGGCCCACCAACCCGCCCGAGCTCACGGCCTGACCCACCACCTCACCCCGATCCCATGCCCCAGCCCCACGGCCCACCAACCCGCCCGAGCTCACGGCCTGACCCACCACCTCACCCCGATCCCATGCCCCAGCCCCACGGCCCACCAACCCGCCCGAGCTCACGGCCTGACCCACCACCTCACCCCGATCCCATGCCCCAGCCCCACGGCCCACCAACCCGCCCGAGCTCACGGCCTGACCCACCACCTCACCCCGATCCCATGCCCCAGCCCCACGGCCCACCAACCCGCCCGAGCTCACGGCCTGACCCACCACCTCACCCCGATCCCATGCCCCAGCCCCACGGCCCACCAACCCGCCCGAGCTCACGGCCTGACCCACCACCTCACCCCGATCCCATGCCCCAGCCCCACGGCCCACCAACCCGCCCGAGCTCACGGCCTGACCCACCACCTCACCCCGATCCCATGCCCCAGCCCCACGGCCCACCAACCCGCCCGAGCTCACGGCCTGACCCACCACCTCACCCCGATCCCATGCCCCAGCCCCACGGCCCACCAACCCGCCCGAGCTCACGGCCTGACCCACCACCTCACCCCGATCCCATGCCCCAGCCCCACGGCCCACCAACCCGCCCGAGCTCACGGCCTGACCCACCACCTCACCCCGATCCCATGCCCCAGCCCCACGGCCCACCAACCCGCCCGAGCTCACGGCCTGACCCACCACCTCACCCCGATCCCATGCCCCAGCCCCACGGCCCACCAACCCGCCCGAGCTCACGGCCTGACCCACCACCTCACCCCGATCCCATGCCCCAGCCCCACGGCCCACCAACCCGCCCGAGCTCACGGCCTGACCCACCACCTCACCCCGATCCCATGCCCCAGCCCCACGGCCCACCAACCCGCCCGAGCTCACGGCCTGACCCACCACCTCACCCCGATCCCATGCCCCAGCCCCACGGCCCACCAACCCGCCCGAGCTCACGGCCTGACCCACCACCTCACCCCGATCCCATGCCCCAGCCCCACGGCCCACCAACCCGCCCGAGCTCACGGCCTGACCCACCACCTCACCCCGATCCCATGCCCCAGCCCCACGGCCCACCAACCCGCCCGAGCTCACGGCCTGACCCACCACCTCACCCCGATCCCATGCCCCAGCCCCACGGCCCACCAACCCGCCCGAGCTCACGGCCTGACCCACCACCTCACCCCGATCCCATGCCCCAGCCCCACGGCCCACCAACCCGCCCGAGCTCACGGCCTGACCCACCACCTCACCCCGATCCCATGCCCCAGCCCCACGGCCCACCAACCCGCCCGAGCTCACGGCCTGACCCACCACCTCACCCCGATCCCATGCCCCAGCCCCACGGCCCACCAACCCGCCCGAGCTCACGGCCTGACCCACCACCTCACCCCGATCCCATGCCCCAGCCCCACGGCCCACCAACCCGCCCGAGCTCACGGCCTGACCCACCACCTCACCCCGATCCCATGCCCCAGCCCCACGGCCCACCAACCCGCCCGAGCTCACGGCCTGACCCACCACCTCACCCCGATCCCATGCCCCAGCCCCACGGCCCACCAACCCGCCCGAGCTCACGGCCTGACCCACCACCTCACCCCGATCCCATGCCCCAGCCCCACGGCCCACCAACCCGCCCGAGCTCACGGCCTGACCCACCACCTCACCCCGATCCCATGCCCCAGCCCCACGGCCCACCAACCCGCCCGAGCTCACGGCCTGACCCACCACCTCACCCCGATCCCATGCCCCAGCCCCACGGCCCACCAACCCGCCCGAGCTCACGGCCTGACCCACCACCTCACCCCGATCCCATGCCCCAGCCCCACGGCCCACCAACCCGCCCGAGCTCACGGCCTGACCCACCACCTCACCCCGATCCCATGCCCCAGCCCCACGGCCCACCAACCCGCCCGAGCTCACGGCCTGACCCACCACCTCACCCCGATCCCATGCCCCAGCCCCACGGCCCACCAACCCGCCCGAGCTCACGGCCTGACCCACCACCTCACCCCGATCCCATGCCCCAGCCCCACGGCCCACCAACCCGCCCGAGCTCACGGCCTGACCCACCACCTCACCCCGATCCCATGCCCCAGCCCCACGGCCCACCAACCCGCCCGAGCTCACGGCCTGACCCACCACCTCACCCCGATCCCATGCCCCAGCCCCACGGCCCACCAACCCGCCCGAGCTCACGGCCTGACCCACCACCTCACCCCGATCCCATGCCCCAGCCCCACGGCCCACCAACCCGCCCGAGCTCACGGCCTGACCCACCACCTCACCCCGATCCCATGCCCCAGCCCCACGGCCCACCAACCCGCCCGAGCTCACGGCCTGACCCACCACCTCACCCCGATCCCATGCCCCAGCCCCACGGCCCACCAACCCGCCCGAGCTCACGGCCTGACCCACCACCTCACCCCGATCCCATGCCCCAGCCCCACGGCCCACCAACCCGCCCGAGCTCACGGCCTGACCCACCACCTCACCCCGATCCCATGCCCCAGCCCCACGGCCCACCAACCCGCCCGAGCTCACGGCCTGACCCACCACCTCACGCCCGGGCCGGGGCCTGGTCTGGCCCACCTCGCCGTGGGCGTTAGTAACCTGCGCTGAATCGCTGCAGTGTTCCTGTGCTGATCCTGTGTGGATCCCTGTGGGAGCAGGTGCCAGTGGAGCTTCTGCGGAGCCGCGGCTGCAAAGCCTGCGCTGCTTTCCCCTCTTTCGTAGACGAGGAACTGAGGCATGCACCTTCTGCTTTGCTTCAGTCTCGTTTGCTGAAGCGTGTTCTGCCAGAGCTGCTCAGAAAGGCGGATTGTCAGAATTTTGGAAGCTCAGAGGGTTATTTTCCCATAGCCTCACTCTTGTAAAATGCTGAACCATTTTTTTGAAATTTTTCTACCTAACATTGGCTTATGTTAGATAGCCAGCATACAAAACTTAAGTGGCTTGTTTGGCAACACTAAAAGGGACTGAACGCAAACAGTTGGGTAGCCTGAATGGGCAGTATTACCAGCTTCACTGATACTCTTTTTTTTCTTTTTTTCTTTTTTTTACAGGGGTGACAAGAAGGTGATATGCAACAAGTTCATCCAAACGGTGAGACTCAGACTCCTATCTTACTCCCTTTTCACCAGTGTAAGTAGGATAAGGACTATGAAATGTCTTTTTGCTCATACTAAGCAGGTGTGGTCAAACTGTCAGGGGTATTTGAGCTCCAAAATATGCAGGTAGATCCTAAAATAATCTCTAAATTTTGAGGTATGTCTTACTGGCCAACTTGAGAGGCCTCATAAGGCTTGCATACAATGCAGTAATTGTCGAATGATCAATATAGTTAATTACAAAATTTCAGGGACTATTCTAGGCATAAGTGGACAGAACCTTACTAACTTGTTTTAAGTGAATTGAAAGGGAGAAACAAGAGAGACTGAGCCCAACTGTTTTTCACAGGCCTGCAGCTCTTAAGCATTTCAGTAACTGATCATAGGTCAAAGAATTGCCATAGCCCATCTATTGATCCCTCCAGCAGAGCAATACTCTTTCCTTACTGTGACTAGAACTGAAAGAAAAACTGGGCATCCATGCCCAGCCAGACACCACCACTTATTCCTGCTTCCTCCTTTCTTTGAAGTTCAGTTGCACTGCCTGAAGTTGTGCTGCTGACACTTCCCCGTATCATCCCTGCTACTCTTCCCAGTAGCAGTTCATGCTCTGACACCCAGAGTGAGTCAGTTCTCTGAAGTAATGATTAGATGATAAAGGGATGGGGGAGGTCATCTCACAAACTTAGCCTAACTTAACTGGGAAGCACGGAAGACGGTGACCGGATTGACTGATAGCCTATTTTGATAGTTCAGTCAGGAGTTCCTTTGTTAATGTCCATGGCTAGAAACAAGATATTGGTACCATTAGGTCTGCTGTACCAATTCACTCTGTGACAGTTGGAGATGATATTATGACTGTCTGCCCTACCTGGGAAGGGTTTTTTTTCGCCCACTAGGGAGAGTGGCTGAACAATCAGTGAGTGAGTGCCCGGGTGGCAGTGTTTCGCATTGTGTGCTCTTCCAGCATGTAGAAGTAAACAGATACCAGTTTCAGTTTCTGTTAGTAGTCCAAGCTGTGAGCTACATTGTCCGAGTGATAATTTACAGTTCATTTTGAATTCCATTGTCACTGTTGAAATCATTAGCATCAGCACCATTTGGGATAATTATCTCATTAGCCGCTGTAGCTAAACCCAACAGAGACCATGAATATGTTGTGTGTGTGTGTTTACAAACCTATACCAAGCACTCCTAGTTACAAAATAGACAAATCTGCTGCAGTAAATTGATTCACTATTGGCTATTTGAACAAGAAATTTTCATAAAGCTAGGCCACTAGAACTGCTATTTATTTCACTGAGTTTGTCCATTTTATTACCGGCCCAATATAGCTTCCTGTTATGGGTGATAAGAAAGAGTATGGGAGATGGTAATATACTTAGCCTTAAAGTTACTTTTTTTTTAACCTGTGCAAGAACTCATTTCTTATTTTTCTTAACACAGGCTCTTTACCTCTTTACCAATGACATCTGTTTTACCTTTGGTTGATATACCTCTTTTGGGAGCTTCCCTAGACTGACTCATTAGTTTCATCACATTTCATACTTCCAAGCTACAAGAGTTTATCAAAAATTCAGCTTTCTGATTGTGTCTCAGAAATGTCTGTGAATTCAGATAAAGTCCTTACAAGTGTGTAATTTAATTGCTACATACATTTTGTATATGGCTATCGTTTCATTGACTGTCAAGAGCACGGTTTTGGAAAAAGGTGTTACAACTACAGGGATTAGAAC